TGTATATAAAAGACCTTCAGAACACTTATCTGTATACTCACAATATTTTATGGAGGGAATCAAGTTATGTTAACTGAATACAATCAGGGTAAAGTAGAAATATAACAAAACAGTATGAAATGTCAAAAGATGTGAAAACTTGAATTTGCTATTCATTTCAGCAAAAGTATGCACTTTTACTCTTTTTTTACTTATTTATTTATTTGATATCATTTTGAATTTTACGGCCTGTTAAGGTAAAACTGTCACTTTGGTGGAGGCCATCAAGCAGATCGAGAAGACCCAAATGTTCTGCCACATCCTGGCCTGCGCTCCCTCCAACAGCGCCGCTGATCTGTTGTGCAGCAAGATTCGCGAGCATGTAGACGAGCACAAAATCTTCCGATTGTACGCCTCCAGCCGGGACCCAAAAGCCGTCCCTGAGCACCTGAAGGTCAGCGCTGATTGACAGTTTAACTCACTCACTTATTTCTGCCGAATAGCTCATTCTTGGACAAAAATTAATGTTCAGAGCCATTCCTGCAGCTTCAGTTTGGGACAAACTGAAGCTGCAGTTTTGTTTTTGCGTTTCTTTGGTCGCATACTGTTGACGTCACTGCATTCATATATGTTGTGGTTATGTTGCTCCACAGACATGCTCTAACCTCTCAGGAGATTCTTATATTTTTCCTGCAAAAGAGAAGCTGATGGAGTTCAGAATTATTGTCACCACCCTGTTAACTGCTGGAAGGTAGATCATAACTTTCAGAGCTGAATATCTTGCTAATCTGCGCTTTTTCTGCCTATATTCTAACCAAAAGTCACCAACATTTAATGTCACGAATGGATTTCGACAATGTGATTTTCTACCCATTTCAATATCGCAGGTTTGTGACAGGCGGCATTCCTTCTGGACATTTCACTCACATTTTTGTGGACGAGGCTGGACACGCCGTGGAGACGGAGTGTTTAGTCCCCCTGGCAGGTAACAGCACAATCTGGAGCGTTTTCCATAATGGGATTTAATTTATTGATAGTTCTTTTAACATGTTTTACTTTTGCTTTTTTTTTTTTTCTGTGTCACATAGGATTGCTAAACACTGAGACTGGACAGCTTGTCCTAGCTGGAGACCCCAAGCAGCTCGGACCCATCCTCAGATCTCCTTTTGCACTGAAATACAGAATGGGTAAGAAGTGGAGATGGACTGATCAGAGATTTCGTGGTCAATATCCAATCCCGGATTATGTAAAGCACTGACCTACTAATACCAATTTCTCTGAAAAACTAAATGCATTTTTATACTTTCTTCTCATATTAAAAACTAATATTCTCAATAACAAAAAGCATGAAGCAAAAAAAAAACATATTTTTCATAACTGGGCCAAAAGTTGCAGAGCTTACGACTCACTTGTTTATTATATTTATTTACTTTATTTGCACAAATATAGATGTTAGCATTTTGCTTCAAAATCTATAAGAACGTTTGGATTATTGAAATTTAGAAAATACAACATTTCGAAACAAAGACAGCTGACAGAGACACTCTTCATCTTATACTGTGCTGTCTGCAGGAATGTCTCTGTTGGAGCGCTTGATGACCGATTTCCCTCTGTACCAGAAGAGTGGTGGCGTCTACAACAACAGCTTCGTGACCAAGCTGCTGCGCAACTACAGGTGAGTCAGAACGCGATGCTTAATGCAACTGGAAGAATCTGCGCCGGGTTTTCAGAAGACACCTTTCAATGCGTCCCTTTCAGGTCTCATCCTGCCATTCTCAAGATCCCCAATGAGCTCTTCTATGAAGGAGAGCTGCAGGCTTGTGCCGAGGAGTATTCACGCAACTTCTACTGCAGATGGGAATACCTTCCAAAGCAGGTATTTATTCTGCCATCAAAACACACACACACAGAGCCAAGTGCATTTCGAAGCAGTTGAATTGGAAGAAGCGCTCCAGAGAGACACTATCCAAGAGAGATAACTATAATCTCCAAAAATTGTTGTAGAGATTAGAAAAACATGTTTTTGTGCAGAAAATACAGAAATTATACTAAAATAATTGAGTGAACGCAGAATGGAAAACTAAAATATCTTTTGTATTTGTTAAAACTAAATGTACTACAGCTACTCCGCCATCTTGCAGCAGTTGGAAAATATAGATAGGTGTTTGTATGGTTAAAAGCAGTCTAAAAATGTCAATTTATTAAAAAGGCGCCTTGACAGCAATGCAGCTACTATTAAGACAGTGATCAAAATTGGTAAAACAAATTCTGTTAATATGCAGGTTGAATACCAGTGATCCCTCAAAAAATTCTCTAAATGTATCAAACTACTGCACTTTAATTCTGAGTCTGAAAACATATAGATAGCATGTTCCTTATTCATTTCATTTTGAATTTAGAGTGAAGAGAGGATCGTACAGATAAAGAAAAAAAATATTCATTTTGGAATGTTATCATAAAAAACTGCTGAAGAGAAATGTTTTACTCCAGGTGCCACACATTCACAGCTGGGTGGCACTACACTATCATTTATGAACACAGTTGCTGCTAAAGCTCACCACTCCCTCATAAGAGGGAGATAAAGAAAAGTGAGATAAAAAAAAAAAAAAAACTACATGAATATTGTTACTGTCATCAGAAGAAGTATTTTAATTACTTGTTCTCCTTGCACTTTAAATACTAAGTTAGATTCAAACTACCTCTATCAGGATGAAAACTTTGCTTGAAAAGAATAGAATAAAAGGTTTGTTTTGTTTGAATTGTTGCAGATGGATCAATTATGAATCAAATGTTTGTGGTAAAATAGAAAGTTCCTTCTTACCAAAATACTGTATTTCACTGACTGAAGTGTTTTCAGATAGAAGCTAGGTGGAAACTGAGCTTCCTATGATCTTGGTTTCCCACAGGGATTCAGGTTATTTTAACAAAGCCTTTCTGTGTATCTTTCAGGGCTTCCCAATAATTTTTCATGGGGTTGCCGGTATTGATGCTCGTGAGTCCACCAGCCCTTCGTTCTTCAATGTTGCAGAAGTGGAGGTGTTAATGGACTACGTGAGAAAACTGCTGGAGTCGCAAGGGAAGAAAGGAGTGGCTAAAATTGCTCCCAAAGATATAGGCATCATCGCCCCCTACAGGAAACAGGTGTGAATTGTGTCCAAAGACAATCTATGAATGACGACCGCTTGATTTCTGGAACATAAATGGCCGTTCTATAACAAACACCAATCTGGTGTTGTAAACACTGAATGGCACTGCTGTTTTATTTCTTTACATAACACAGGTTCAGAAAATCCGACAAGCCTTGGAAAAAGTTGGGAAGGACTTAAAACGTCCAGACATGAGGACTCTGAAGGTAACATTTTTTTCCTCTATTATGTGAGGAGATTATGGAGCTTTAAAGTGTGTTCAGATATTCAGTATTGAGTTTATAATAGGGGAGGTAAAATTCCAGGAGGCATCCTGACCGGACTAGTTTGATGCAGAGCAGCTACAAAAATATACAAAAGAATAATTCCTATTATTTTTGTAAAACAGCTATTGATCCAGTTGGTGATGCTGGACTACTGTTAGTTTAAATTGTGTGTGTGTGTGTGTGTCAGGTTGGTTCAGTGGAGGAGTTCCAAGGCCAGGAGAGGAGAGTAATCCTGGTGTCCGCCGTTAGAAGCAGTGCCAACTACATGGACTTTGACAAAAAGTTCAGCCTGGGCTTTATCAAGAACGAGAAGGTAACTAAAACACACACACACACACGAGGTGCGCTCGACTCAAATGTCCGCACGTCGTCTTGACTCTTTGTTTGTCCAGAGGTTCAACGTGGCTGTGACTCGAGCCAAAGCTCTGCTGATTGTGGTGGGAAACCCCTTAATGTTGAGCGCAGATCCTAACTGGGCCAGGTATATTTCACGCATACACGTTTCTCATTTTCACATTAAAGAAACTAAATCAGATTATGCTGAATAAAATTCATTTTGCTTTGTCTCTGTCTCTTGTCTGCAGCTTCATTGAGTACTGCAAAGAAGAGAGAGGCTACAGCGGTTTCTCACACGCTGAGGAAGACGAGGAGGAGATCGTGGCCAAACTGTCTGCACTCTTCATCAGCATTGAGGCTGAAAGTAAAACACATTTCATCTGTCTTTTTAAATTCAGTCAAATAAAGGCCCGCGTTATTGTGTAAACGTGACTTTTGAATGTTTCTCCATCCCAGTTGAGACTGCTGAGAGTGTTGTTCAACAGCAACTGGACCCCGAGTGGAGGAATGACATGTGAGCAGAAGAGAGAGCGAAAGAGGGAGGACGACTACCTGGGAAACTTGAAGAGCATCATTACATTACAGTTGTCCTGGATAAAAACAAATACTGTTCAGTATTAAAGATCAGAAACAATCTCAGCATTCAAGTAATGTCATCCAGAAGCATAGTTTGAAGGTCAACATTTAGCCAAAGACCAGAGCACAAAGACAGAGGAATTGTACCAATAAGAGCTCAACTGCTAATCACAGGAAACATTAGCTTCTGATTACACTTCCTGATGACAACTAGAGTTACATAAAATCCAGGGACATTCTTCTCAGGTTTGATCGGTTTTAACTTAATCACTGCTTTTATAAAAATCGAGAAAATATCTTTTGTTGAATCACTGCACTGCTTTTTAAAGAAAAAAAACATTTACTAAATTACCTTGATTGATGCCCTGTGTTTAATAAAAAGTACCGTATGTGAAACATGAAATTGAATGCTCACTAAGTTCTTTTGACCATGCAAAGAAACTCGAGTGTATTTGGTTTGGATTTTATCTGATATACAAAACAGTACAAAGTACTAATTAAGTGTGAAGTGGAGAAAAACAAAACAAAAACAAAGACACCGTTCGTATTTCCAGAGATTATCGGAAAACTGTTGTGTATTTGTATTCAGACCGATGGTAGCAAAGCTCAATTTAAGCCTTCCCACATATTCTGAGTAAGATTCATTACCTCGACAGAGCAACCGAGATGAAAAACTAAACCAATCCAGTCCGGGTAATGAGTTTCAAAAATATTTTATTGACACGTTCATCTCCTCCAGAGAAAACAATCCTCTCCTGTTTGCGAAGTGTTTTCTACAATCAACATTTTCTCTTAAGCTATGCATTAGACACTTAACACACGGCCCAAGTGTGCAGGTATTATTTCTAGGCCGCATATTTCAAATCTCTGAATCTAAATATATAAAACAGGAGGCGATCAGTTTGCAATGGTGACTAAAAGAAACAAAAAGGGATCCATGGCACTCAAACTGTAGCATAATCCGGTTCAAGGACTAGACATGTGCATATGATGCGTCAAAGAATTTAAAATCTGATATAGATAGAAAAACCTGTTATGGTAGTGCATATTATTAAAAAAAAAAAAAACTTGGCCAACAAAAGTGTTGCTGCTGAGCAAGAGATGTTACTGCTCTTCTAATAGACCAAAATTGCATGTAAAAATGGCTGTAAACGGAGCGTATTCATCTTCAGAAAATCTTTTACACAGTAATGAGGCAAATATATTCTGCATCTGAAACAGAACTGAGATCAGAGAGGAGGCTGGGCTGGTGCAGGGAAAGCATTGGTCATGTCTGTCAGAGCCAGAGGATTGCAACTGCTAGCATTGTCCTCAACAATGCAGCACTGTCTGCAGTGCCAGTTTAAGCTGTCGCCATTACTGGGAGGGACCAGTGTGCCGTCCAAAGCTTCTCCTTCCAAATGCTGTCTGCTCTTTCAGTGTACTGCTGTATGCTGGGCTTAATTGGGTGTGAACGGGTTCTAAATTTGGTCTCTTGCAGATCGGCAACAGCTTGGTGGCATATTAAGTTTTACAGTATAAAACTAATAGTGGTACAATGCAGATAACTGCCACAGAATCTGGTGTGTAAAAGGAAATCAAGTGGTGCATGGAGATTTTAGAAGAAGCAGAAGGAAGCAAATCCAAACAACAAAAAAAAAAAACAACCATTCAATGCTATAGGAGAAACAATGACAGAACAGGAAGAGCACATGACCCCTCTCTGTAAACAGAATCATGACACGCAAGCAGAAGGCATGGCATTTTTAAAGAATAATGCACATTTAAATACAAATACATTCATACAGAAACAAGAGTTCAATCTGCCACACAAGCAGACTGGTGTGCTGGTTACAGGAAACAGCAAGATATGAGCAGAAAGTTGGAAAGAAAACATTTAATAACTGATTTGTTTAGCCTTTGTTTAACCCTCCTATAGAAAGAGGGTTAAACAGGTGTGGCAGTCTCTCATATACACCTGCATCTGTGTAGTAAGTACAGTCTATGGAAGCCACGGATTTAAGGTTTCTCTAAGTTTGTTCTGGGAGAGTCCTCCCTCAGATGTTGATCAGCCAGCAGATACAGACTCCTCACAGTAACTGGCAGCCGCCCCGCTTCTTGCGCTTGCGGACCTGCAGCGCTGCTCTGGTAGCCATCTCAAACACTTCCCGCACGCCGTCCTTAGTCTTGGCTGAGCACTCCAGGTAGCCAAAGGCACCGATGCGTTGTGCCATGTCTTTGCCCTCCTCTTGCTTGACAGGCTCCTGGAAAAGGAGGGTTAAATGTGAAAACGTTAATACATGGTAAATGCTGGGATACTTGTCATTTGTTGTAGTTAGCATAGAACTTCACCTGTTTCATTTTGGCCAACTCCCTGCGTGTGTGTTCATCGTTTCTAAGGTCCTTCTTGTTGCCCACAAGTATGATGGGAACGTTGGGACAGAAGTGCTTTACTTCAGGGGTCCATTTCTCAGGAATGTTCTCTGAAAAAATATATATATATAAATTGTGATGCATGAGTTCAGAGTTCCAGCAAAGTGCTTGCCAATTTCTTTTTCTCCCAAAGAGCAGGAGAAGTTTCCCCAGTGACAGTACAAACAATCAAAAAGCCACTGACGCCCTGGCTGACATGCAGTCATTCTTTGGGAGGATGGTACCAAATGAGGCACTATCCACGTCACAAAAACTGAACACTTACATTCTCTCATGAATCTAAGATGGGGGAAACAACTCAGTTTTCTGCAAAAGATTTTTAACCAATTTACCTAAACTTTATTTTCAAAGGATGAAAAGTAAATTAAGTACTTTATATTAACCCTATAATTAACAAGTGGTGCAGTGGACAGTCACAATATGCCTTACCTAAACTGTCAGGGCTGTCTATGGAGAAGCACATAAGTATAACGTCGGTGTCAGGATAGGAGAGAGGCCGCAGTCGGTCATAATCCTCCTGGCCGGCAGTATCCCACAGTGCCAATTCCACCTGCGCGGCAGAGGGACAGGATAAGAAGGCTGTTAAAAATCTGCAGCTGACTGGAAGCTGAACTACGAAAGAGGATCACAACAAACAAAATCAGTACTGACGAGAGCAGAAGTAAAATTCCTTTGCTACTAGCCCTAAAGAACAACTTCTCAGTGGTAGAGGAAGTTCCCACAGGCCTTGGGCTGTTAATCAAAGTGGCGGCAGTCCCAGAGAGCCTGACCTGCTCTTGATAAAATAAATGTCCTGCAAAAATCTTTTTCAAAACCTCAGCAGTAGAACTACCAATTTTAGGACACTGTAGCCTGAAACTGTCAGTGCGTGCAAAATTAACCAAGCCTCAGCTGCATCGCATCCCACAGTGTTTCATGCAATGCACTTTCCTGGTCTTATTAAACAGATCTTACACTTCAATAGCATCTAAAACGGAAGCTAAAATTTGGGAATAAAAAGGTTTAATTGTACCATCTGGACATTAGTAGGGTGTTATAGAATTTGTTTTATAAATATTTCAAATTCCATTCCCCCTGCATCCAAACTTCCAGTTTTTCCATTTCACTTTTTCTGAATTTGAATTTTCTATATTAACCATATATATTAACCTAAAAAATTATATGCAATGGTCTGCTGATAGATCCCATATTTGAGCCAGACAAAAAACAAAAACATGCAATAACCTAGCATCCCTTTACTGTATGCTAGACTTAAAGTTGTTACTATGGCAAGAGATGCAACAGAGAAGGATAAGAGAAAAAGGACAAAATGAACAAAAAGAGAATCAATTCACAGATAGCGCTATGATAAATAAGATTACACTGTAAGGCTTTTCACGTCTTCAACTAAAGCATGAATATGACAAGAAATGTAGTTAATCTCACATGTGGCACCAACTTCCTGAATAATTTTTCATGTTTTCACATGTTTTTCCTTCAAGCCCCGAGTTATTAAAGAGAGAAAAAAAAAGCAGAGGAAGCAAAACTGTTGGAAACAAGATCAGCTAACAAATTAGGGGTGTGCATTAGACAAGACCTGCAGTCAAGCTCATAAGTAAAAACCCTCCAATCCCACTTAAAAATGAAAAAAAAAAAGTATAAATCCCAACAATTTGGAGCATGTAAGGAGGAACTTTTCCCACCCCACTTTATTAAAAGAAAAGTGAGTACCAGGCTCTTAAAGTGATGAAACATGACTTTTTTTTCTTAATATATATGGTGTAAACAAAATTTTACATCACAGAACAATGCACGAAACGCTGACATCAGATTTTGCAACACAGGAAACGGGAAAAGGAAATTAGTCATGATTTACAAGGAGGGAGAGGGAGTGTTTGGTGGGAACTGAACCCTACACAGGAAGGTGGCAAAGATTCAATTCCTGTTGTTGGCTAGAGATGTGTACTTTGAAAACAATGAAATGTCCCAAAGAGCTTTGATAACAATACACACCTGTTGCCATTAATCAAAATCGCACGTGGTTCACATCTAACAAGGTCAGGAGTGTCGCATAAAACTGCCTGCTTTCAACATCATTTCTGATCACAGGTCAAAGGAAAACTGAAATCAGTCTGTCCCATTGCATCCCAACAGTGCTCTTCGTGAAAAAAAAAAAATGTCATTATGGAGTGAAAAGTGTTAAAATATCTGTGCGAGTGTAATACTGGATTTGTAAACATTTAAAATAAAATAAACCTTTTCCTAGGCCTTCAAATGTTGAAAAAGTACACACAAGTCACCTGGTATACACACACAAAACTGCATTTACACACAGATCCAGTTACGAGTATTTTTGAGACTCATTTCATGCTTGAGGAGCTCCAAGATTTGTGAGTAGATGGTGCGTTTACATGCTAGTAGAAAGTTGGGTCAAATGAGTTTTGCTCCGAGTCCATTGTTTTTATCCTATAAGCTTGTTCTTCTGCCGAAGTGGCAAATCCGTTCGGTGGAAAACGGTATACCTCTTCCTTATAATATTCCAAAATTATTTGTAAGGATTTAGTCTAATGTCCACACATAGGCCTGTTACAATATTCTATAAATCAATTAATCAGATGATAAATTAAAACAAACTCAATCATTTCCATTGGCCTGAGTTATCATTTGTCTTTTTTTCCCTCTTGCTACCAAAAGCTGGATGATAAAAGACTTCAGTTTAGTACTTTGGTCTCGATAAGCCCTTATTTTGAAAGGCAATTTTGTTTACAAAGACTTCAAAATTCATTCATTAGTATTTTTTTAATTCATTTTGGATACTAAACATGTCTTCCAGTTACAATGTTAAATGTTCATTAGAATTTAAAGTTTAATGACCTTTGAGAATGTGTCATTATTATATTCCTTAAAAAACGGGCTCAAAAGAAGAATATTATTGTTCGAGATAACTTCTGGAACAATTTATCATACAGTAAAATTTTTCATTCCGACAGACCTATTCACACATCCTCCAGAATCTTTAGATTAAACTGTGTTTGTGTCTGGATCTCTGAACTCCACAGAGATGCCATTTCATTGGCCTTTAAATGAACATATACGTTATCTGCAAACCAGGACAAACCTTCTGTTCCTGTCTGTCTTCATTTCAAGTTGATTAATGTAGAGGGTACAATGTATTCAGATGGTTCCGATTTTCAACAGCAGTAAATTACTTTCTCACTTGATATTTTGACACAATTAACAGCTAATAAACACATACTAAGAAAATAAATATTTTATCCATTTATTTAAAGCACCACAGCAAAAATAGCCTCCACAGCAAAACATTTAATGCATAAACATTTGATCAACATTTTAAAAAAATAACATTTCAACATACATTGTGATGATTCAAGTAATGTTCAGGTTCAGCAAAGTCAGGTTTGTCGTGCATCAGCTGTTCAAGAAAATCAACATTTTTAAATTTTGTTTTTTGCACTAACTGTATATTTGTACTTTTTTCTGAATCTTCAGACAATCTGCAGCAGCTGAGATTTTGGGAGATTCAACACCAAAACTTCAAGCTCCAAACTGAGCCGTCAACTGGACCAAGACACCTTTCAAACAACTACAGTCGTTAACCTACAGTCGTTAACCTGCTCTGATGGTAGACATTATGATGTCGCCTTAATCTGTAGAGATTGTCCTCAGTCTTCTTTGAATACACAGCCTTATGGTTTTTTCTTTTGTTAATTGATTATAGTAAATATTTGAACACCCATGTAAGTTTTAAGACATTTCATTGACTTTAGGTAGCTGTGAAACCACCCATGTTAATCTGAATCTATTTTGATAAAAGATTCAACAAATTTGTTGCAATCTTAAATATTTAATTTGTCCTTTGTTTGCAGTGAAATGAACATTAACATTAAGTCATGAAACACTTTTGTCATCTTCTTTCTACAGTATAAATCGAATGATGCCTCTATTAAAATCATATTTGTGACATCAAACTTTTTTTCTGCCATAAAGCAGTGGTCAACCTATAGCTAAATGTTTGTAATTTACTTTCAACAAATGGAAACCAAAAAGGTTTTAAAGTAAAGACATTATGAAAACCATCTACATCAACACAGGTGAAGTTTCCACTGAATTCAAGTAAATGTGATTACAATTGAGTGAAAATTATACTGCAGGGCTTTAACACCAGTTCAAGAGGGTTGGTGTCTTCCAACCTTTAGAGGTCTCCTCTTTAACGCACCTGAATCAAATCATAAGGTCAGAGGTCATTAGCACGACTCTGGAGAACTTGACTGTTCTAAGCAGCCATTTAATTCAGGTGTGTTGGACCAGGACATAAATGTTGCAGGACACCAGACATCGATGCCTGGATCTGAGGATCCCTGTTAAAAGATCAGTGTGTTCCTGCAGCAGCTCCATTGGATCAGAGGGTAGATGAGATCTGAAAGGACCTGATCCTCCACTAAGTAAAATAATACCAGATCCAATCAGTCAGCCGTTTCGTCCTGAGTAGAGATAAATATAAAATGTTATTTATACACATTGAAATTCAATAAATTAGAATCGAAAGGCAAATTATTTCACTTAATTATATTCACTGAGTGAATAACGTAAAAGGCAAATCAGAATATTTCCCAAATTAAAAATATCAGTCAGCAACATGACTAAGGAATTTGATTGGAATCTCTTGGGCAAAACAGATGCAGTCAGAACCACCCAGAGATAATAAAGACTGTGCTGAGTCTAACACTAAAACAAACAGCTAAAGTAGCATAGTTCACATCAACATTAGCTTCTGCTAACAGGAACATATGAGGAGGGCAGAGTTTCAGAACACCAGACATATAAAACATAATCTGAAATTATTTATAATTACTCCATGTCTCATAATCGGAGAGCAAAGCCTGCCGGTTTAGTCACTACTTACTTCAGAGGGCAGACCACTGGGACGCTCCATCTTGTTTCTTGGTTCCACCCAGCAAACCATTCAGCCACCCAGTGGTCATTTTTTGGACCACTTAGTCTCCTATACCACTCAAAAATGCACAATACATCTATAAATAATTTTGAGATATTATCCGGAAGTGCGGAGATATACCGTTTTCCACTGAACTAACATATTTGCCATTTTATCACAAGCACAGTGAGAAAGGTTTAGAGGTTAAAGCCACTAAACGTTTTATCAGACTCAGAGCAAAAGTCAGATGACCCAGTTTTCTACTAGCATGTAGGAAGCTACTAGTATGCAGAGAGCTAGCATGCAGAAAGCTTCCAAATCTGGGAACTCCCGAAGCACGAAATGTGTCAAAAATATTTGTGCACTCATAACAGGATCTGTGCGCAAATGCAGTTTTGTGTGTGTGTACCAGGTGACTTGTGCGTACTTTTTCAACATTTGTAAGTGCAGGAGAAGGTGTATTTTATTTTTAATGTTTACAAATCCAGTATTACACACACAGATATTATGAGACTATTTTTCGCAGGGTAACAGGATCATTTGAAAATCTCAAGTTTAAATGTTCACAGGATCGATCAAATTATTTTTCTGTTTCAAGTCATCAAGAGCCACCTTTAAAACCTTGAAGATGCATATAAAAATAGAATTCAGCTGCTCATAAATTTAAACTAAGACACACAATAAATGTCCAAGAATTAATACACAGAATACCTGTTTGCCATCAACTTCAATGTCAGCAATGTAGTTCTCAAATACAGTGGGGACGTAGACTTCTGGGAACTGATCCTTGCTGAAGACGATGAGGAGGCAGGTCTTCCCACACGCACCATCTCCAACTATCACCAGCTTCTTTCTGATTGCAGCCATCTAGAAGCAAACAAAGATTTATCTTTAGGTTCAGATTTGACAAATTGTAAACCATACAGAGATACTTGTTTCAAACAAGTGACGAACGAGAAGCAATATAACCATAAATGGCGAGAAAAGACAGGAAAAACGGGGGGGCGGGGGAAACCCTTGTCTGTTTAAGAGCTGCACCTCTTCCTGTTTCTGGGTAGTGTGCAGTCTATGGGCCTGGAAGCGTTACATGATGCTTCATCTTTACCTACCAGTACATGAGGGATTAACACCCCGCTCTGATTTTCTCTGACACAACTTTATCAATCACATTTGTTATTAAAAATGGACAATCAGCTAGAAAACGCTAATAAGGGCATCATGATTTTTTTTTCTTTAAAGTTTGATTTTAATGTTTGTTCACCAACCAAGCTGTTCAGGCACCCTGTGGAAGAACCTTATGACAGTGTCAAACAAATGTTCCCAAGTTCTAAACTGCAGCGCTCCTTTTCAGTACAACAACATAAGAGACACAACCTTGGTTAGCATTTTAGTTCTACACATTAAATCAGGCCAGTGTACCGTTAGATACTCTGCAGAGAGCCACCTGTTCTCTGTGATAGCAGGCTGCTACTGCTCCATACATCATACTGACATTGCCAGAGGGAAGTTTCACATTCAGAAACAAACCCACTGGACTGGCAGTCGACACCAGAAGCTTCATAAAGAAAATGAGGCTGCTCCTGCACACTGAGTAAGGCGCAAAATGTAGTCTACTGATGTCAACAGCCGTCACAGCAGGCTCCCCGCTGTTACAGTAGTTAGGATGACAAAGCACACATTAGTGGTAGTGGCCCTTTTACTTTGGATAAATGCAAATCTGAAGCCTTTCTACTGGACAAGGAAGAGCAAAATCCAAAATACTATTTTCAAAAGTATGTCAGCGTCAGTCACAATATTTTCAAACATCCTTAACATTTGCATAAATGTAGCATACAACACATCGCTTGTGTACTAACAAGAGTCAAACATAAAAACGCACAAAAAGTGCAACTGAGTCACTGAGATGTTTTTTTAATCGGTGAACATTGGTTGATTATTCACCCAAAACTGTGTACAAGTAAAAAAAAAAAAAAAAAAAAGCAAAATTTAACTTTAAATTGCATTTCAGCTCACCAGTAAAGATCAAAAGTGCATAACATTTTGCATTCACAATAAAGCCAGGGGTTACATGGGGTTAGTAGCATTTCCTGGTCGTCTTCTCTTCCCCATCATCACTTAAAACTTCTCCCTCTGTCCTCTGTCATGTTTGTAAACTGGTGTGACTGTAGGTTACTTCTTCCACTGGGTTGAACAGGCAGCCTATTTGTTAGTTTGAGAACTGCTGCCACCTAATGACTGGAGGCTTGGGTTTCATTCATCTTTAAGCATGAATAAAAACACTAATGCCAAAAACAACCCTTCAGTCTCCCATGCGGGCCGGTTCACTGAGCAGTACGGCCTTAATGCAGATCTCAGGAGAATTCTGTTTTTGGTGGCTGAAATGTTAAAGTTAAGCCAAAGTCGTGGGAACATTATATCTAGAAAATGACAACAGATCAAAACTTAGTTGATAACATTTACAAAAATGTGAAACACTGAAAACTACAATGAACTCAAATCAGCTTGTACAGCCCACGAAAAAAGGAATATTATTCAAAAATCTAAGTTTCAGTTGATATGGAAAAATGTTAATGGACATAGATATTTTAACTGAAGATCATCAGCCCTGGAGGTGGAAGCCACTTCTAAGTTATTTGAACCAGGGCCTGAAGAAATTAAATTGACCATTAAGGACATTCTGAATAACAAACCATAATTATTAACAGCATCTGTATAATTGCTTCCCAAATACAAAAGGTAGATGCTTATTAAAAAAAAAAACATGTTCTCAAGCCTTGCATGACTCTCCTTGAAATGGAAAGGGAGCAGGGGGCAAAGTCATCTTTCCTCATTTCTCCACGACGGCAGGTTGTGAACTGCCACAGGTAGTAACACATTAGCCAGCCTTGCTCACTGGAGGTAACAAGGGTCAAAAATAGCAGAGAAGTAGCTGTGGGTGACTAGAGCGTTGTGTAAATTCTTTCTCCTTATGAACTCCAAATCAACTGGGTTTGAGTTCCTGCCAATCAACTCTGAAAAAAAATTATTTATATAACCTACATTTCTTTTTTTTTTTGCCAATCTCTGACCACAAAGTTGTAATCTTGACATTCTACCTTTCCTTAACCACATTTTTCAACTGTTTCAGCTCATAGTTAAAAAAAAAGTTTTAAAGTTTAATAGAGGCTTTCTTGGGATACATTAAAGCTTTTTGGATGAGCTTTTCATTTATGGAATAGGGAAAGCATGCCTTATCAGACTACTGTTAAAAAAATGGCTCAGCAAACAAGTGTGTTCTGGATTTAAGAGCAAGAAGCTAAGTTTGTACAGGCTCGACGTAAATGGCCCTAAACACAAAGCTTAACTATTTCAAAGAGTCAACAATCTGATCTGATGATATTAGGAGGTTGTAAATAAAGACACGCATCCTTTCAAATGAAAAGACTAATATGTATCAGGCAGTTTCTCTAAATATCTCATTAGAAACATGAAGTCAGTCAATTACGTTTAATATTTCATGATCAACATATCCGTGAAATCCCTCTCGGTCAAAATTGTGCTCAAGCTGTAAAAGGTGATTCTGTTGATAAGTTATACACAAAAAAAATAAATAAAAATAAACTTTAAGTCAGTTAACATACGAGTTATTTATAAAAATAATGTTTGTTCAAAGCACTTCAACAATTTAAGAAATTCCTTGAGTAGTTAGTTTGAAAAGGTGCACCCCGCCCCCCAAAAAAAGAATAAAAAAATGTATCCATAGTTATGAGCATTTTTTAAAGGGACTCTCAGGTATTGGTGTGTTTTATTTACATTTTGCTGTAATCCCCAACCACTGCAATATTGGGTGTTTACTGCACTTAATTGTTTTACAAAGTGACAGTTGACTTAAATTACAATTTTCCTAATTTCTATTGGACATATTACACAAACAAAAATTACTTAACACAAAGGCTTTGTGTAGCTTTCCTCTGAAACTCCTCATTTAGGGCAATCCAGGCTCACTGTAGAGTAATTTAAGGAGCAAACCTGCTTGGCATGCAAAGGATAAATGAGCACCACAGAGCTGCTTATTGTTCAAATAAACTCTAAAGAACACAGCTCTAGAGGTTCGCCAATTCAAAACATATTTTCTTTTCCACACCATTAACAGCAACAACAAAAAGGACTTCCACTTTTACTTGGGCAACACGAGAGAAGTCAAACACACATTTTGAAGGTTGAGTCTAATTCTAGGCCATCTAAACCCATTCATACACATAACTACCTCCAAGATCCAAGCTATGGAGGTTGAAGTCAAAGAACAAAGTAGGAGCTCAAAATAGGACAGAGCCAATGAGACTCCCGCTGTCCAACTCATCACACAGTGCAGCTCAGCTCAAAGTATACAGAAAAAAAAAAAACTCATCACACAGAATTATCTCTTCAGCTGCCACTCAGAGATCTGGTTTCAGTTCAAACAAACTGAAAAAATACCAGATTCTAGGGGAATGATGCTCATGATGAGAAGCAGTCAAAAGTAATGCATTGAGCACTGCAGCACCAGCAGATTAAGGGCAACAAAAATGCAGTATGCATGCTTCTAATACTTCTTGAGTATGTCTAAACAAGGGGTTAAGTTTGCATGTGGGAGAAGGAAACATGACATGAAACAGATGAGAAATAAAATAATGCAGTTTGCTATTAACTAAAAAGGTATGACTATAAAGACTTGGAGAAGTTAAAACACCCTTTTCTCTAGTCTGTTTGCTCCATGATGTCACCATCAGGAGGCAAAGATGAATTCTTAGCTAGTTCCATCCCTCATTATGCAAAAAAAATAAAACTACATGCAGCACAAATGAAACCCGACATCTGTGAGCAGCCTCAGCTTATTCATGGCGTCCTAATTCCAGTCTATTTAGAGCTGCCCTTAAAGAAACGGTTCAAGAATTACATTTCTTAAAAAGTAGAGCTGATATTTTCCAGGCACTCCATATTTTTTTTATTGTAAAACACGCTTCAGCTGCATCAGCTCCTTAAAAGAACACAGGCCTCCCAGGAAATTTGGTCTTATGGAAAGCTGCCTACGCAAATCTTGGACAGGATATGGTGGCGAATTGTTTTTGAATACCTTGTCTGATAAACATCGATAAGTTAACAATGTGCAGACTTGCAGCCCTCCACAGACTCTGACTGAAAAGTATAGGTTGGGGGAAAATTAGAATGAACAATCATTCTTCTGTCAGTGCATGACTTAGTAAAAGTCTGCATGTTGCCAAGAATTGAGAGCTTGTAGTCTATTTCCTAAGCTCATCATAACAAAAAAAAAAAGGCACTGATAGACAAGGTACATATGATTTCAGAGAAATGACATGCAAAAGTCAAAAGCATTAGGTAAAAATATCACATACCACTAATCCACAATAGTCCTTTATAAAAAGGAGGTCATATGCCTGACCTCAATAAAGCAGAAAGCATTTAGAGTTCACAGCAAGAGCTTGTAATGAATTTTAATCACTGATTAGACATACCTAAACTCAATTTTAACCATTTATGAAAGGCAAAATTATTTCATGTCACTTGATTAACAGATAAGTGTTCAAACACTATCAACAGAAAAAGTTAAGTCCACATTTCACTTGCCTGTATAAAAAAAAAATAAATAAAATCAATTGACCCACTGAAACAGAGGTGTCCAAAGTGCAGCATTTACAACTGTTGTACCCATGAAAGGCATACTTTCGCTTTGAGTGCAAGGCCTTCCAAAAGGGGAGAAACAAGATACAAATTTCCTAACATAAAAAATGTAAAGACAAGGGGAAAAATATTTAGTCTTTCAATTGCTATGTTTTGGCTTTTAATTTAATAATCTGGACCACTAACCTCCGTCAGTTGGCCCCAGTGGCTACTATCCAGTAGCTGGCCACCATCAGCGTGTCAATATGTGAGCGAATACGTTAACTGAGGTCTAGTCCAAACGTGGCAGTTTATCTGGGAAACCAAATAGATTTGAATGCGATTTGGCCTTTCATCCACTCAGACTGTTTAATAACATTAAAAACAATAATAAAATTTGAACCCAAGTGGCAATTAAAGATTTCTCTTTATTTGCATTTGCATGCCCTAATGTAGGGCATGCAAAGTGGAGGAAAGCAAACGGCTGCTGTCAGAGAGGTGCTCATTTTTACACTCCCCCAAAAATCTACCAATAAACTAAAACGTTCAGAAATTGCATGCATTGCAAAAAAAAAAAAAAAAAAGCAACATAGATTTTAAAGTATAAATCGTGATCGTCTTGTAATTCTGTAAACCTTTTCACTCATAACTACCTCCAAAAATATCTTTATCAAATACATTACAGAAACCCTAATGCCTGCCCCCTTCCAAAACATTTAGAAAGTCAAAGTCTGATCTCAAAGAAATTGAATCAAAGACATGATCACTGCAATCATCAATTATAGCTATCTTGAATTAAATTAAAACCCCTTACATGTTAAATTGCGGTGCAAATACCACTAAATTGTGACATCGAAAAAAAAAAAACATTAAATTCATAGAAACCACATAACAGTTCCTACCGATTCCCACTATAATTTACACAGTAGTCGGAAGAATTCATGTTCTCTAAATTGGAGATGACACAGCCTTCACTGGAGGAGCTCTGATTTTGTTCTCCATGTCCGCATACCACTGGGTACGTCCCCCAGTCCAAGTTCTGCTGGTTAAAATGTAAAGACATACTTTCACGGACATACCATACAAAACATCTAATCACAAACAAGCCAATAATAGCACAAGGTAAGGATGACATCCGGCGCAGCCATGTAGACCAGGGAACAAACATGGGAGTGACCCAGCCGAAGCACATCAGCAGTTCTGCAGGTTTGACTTTGGTTCACGACAAACAGCAGGAGTGCAGTTTTGTTATGGAGAACATGCCAAGGCAAGGGAACAAGCTGCTGTGAGAGATGAGGGTCTGCGCTACTGGAGCTGAGCAGCATAACAAGGGTGTGGTGGCTCGGAGAAAGGAATTTCCTCGGGACAGAACTAATGTTTTATCACTAACAACAGACGGACAGGATAGACTTTGACCGCTTAACTAAATAAGAAATAAAGTCGACCATTTTGAAGGTAGTTTCGATTATTCTGCTCTCCAGGAATTATTATGTTACAAAAAAAACCCCCACATAGTTCCCAGTCCCTGTCGACTTGTCAAACATGTTTTCAATAAGAAACCGAAAATAAAGTTGTGTGTAATTTTTCCCCTCTAGGACTACAACAGGGTCCATTTTCGTCCACAGCGGAACTCCCTCCAGTTAATTAAAGTACGCAGTGAGGTACGACATGTAGAAACTGTGCAAAGCTAAACAAGAAGCTAGGAATACCGATAAACGCCGCGTCCTTTGCGTGGACAAACAGGTGTGTCCCCCGGCTTACGGCGTCTCTCCTTTACCTCTTTTTTTTAAGCCTGCCGAGCAAACCTCGGAAACCGTGTGAAAAAAAAGAAAAACTTCTTCTCACTAAGTAACAGGTTTCAACTCGCCGAGCTGCTGCTGCTGGTATTTCGACTCATTAATGTGTCCACTGGAGCGGCGCCGCTTAAACCAAACACTTTCCCCGATGCAATAAACTGATGTTCAGGACTACATACACCTCTAGATTACGCAGCAACAATGAACATTTAAACCTTACCTCTCCCAGAAGATTGTGCCTTCAGCGAACCAAATTCCTCAGTGTTTTCTGTTTGACTGTGGTCCTAATATCCCAGAAGCTAATCAGTGCGACTGGCGGAGCAGCAGCAGTCAAACTGATACTCCTTTCGGATCCTCCCATTGTGCTGCGTTCGAAATGCACTCGTAGAGTCACCACTCTCGTCGAGGAACAAGTGAACAAACAATAAATGCATACACATCACTCTCTGATTATGTAGTGAAACGATAAAGTTTAATCGTGTGTTATTTATTTTTATTATTTTAACACAGTCAAGGAGAGATGTTTGCGTCAGGTCAAGCGAAAATACTACGTTCTTGAAGTGGAACACTCAAAATTCCCAGCTGCACTTAACTAGAACACCAAATCTTGATCATTTCATATTCACGCTCTTGCTCGCTATTGGTCGAAAACATTTAACAGTTCAACGTGCCCCCTCCTCTTTACGGTTAAAGTACAATGACATAATTTATTTACAAGGTTGTATGTTTTAACTAATTAACTAATAATTCTTTTTTTAACAGGAAACCTCATTTTCATTTCCACTTTCGTCACCTTATTATTAAGACCACCGTTGTTGTTGCTATTGTTTTATGTTCCTTGTGTAAGAAAATTGACTTTGACCCAAGTACTGTTCTCCCACAGAGCAACAGGAAACCACGCAACAGGGATTTGAGCTTTTTAACATGCCATTCTCCCAGTGAGGTCGTAAGTTCAGTCCCCCTCTCAGTACACTGCGGCACACTGTTGTAATACAGCAACATTGGCTTCAGGGTAAGAGGAACATTTCCACTAACAGTAGGGACATTATTAAACCACAGTGGTTTACCACAGGAACTCCTATATCAGAACTTAGTTATTCTAAGTCAGTTGAGGAAGTTTTATTAGTCTGAAAGAAAAAAGTCATTGGACAAAATTCCCTTGAACATCGATGTTAAAACTAATCCTTTTAAGAGTAGGATCAAAATTTTTCTCATTTTGTTGCGTCTGTAGATATTCTTTATTCTGATGCCTTACTAATAAACTATACAGTCCTTCACAGTTTCTATAATGATATATGTCTTTGGTAGTTACATAAATGATCCTTCTCAGTGCCACAAGGCGCTGTGCTATTTCTATGGATTATCTTTTTAGACTGAACCTTCTCATTTGAGTAATCAGATTTTAGAAAATCTGAGGTGATACTAAAGTTTGAGGGAAAAAAATATGCAAGAGGATTTGCAACAGTTCTCTGGCTAGCCTGAAGGAGTTGAGTGGGAGATACCTGGGGAAGGTGTTTTCTGTTAACTGGAAATTTGGACGTTCGGAAATTGCAACACCAACGAGGAGCTTCTGCAAGGATTATGGGAGGTTATGTACCTCGATTATTTTGGTCCTCTTCTATCATGTTGTTTCCCCTTTTATTGGTTCCAGCGGTCCCTAGTTATCCCCTGTGCATTTAACCTCACCTGTGTGCTTTATTCCCTGTTGTATCTTCATTTGTGAGTTTGCTTTGTGTCTTTGGGTCACCTACCTCTTCCACTTGTTTCAACCCTTGTGTCTGACTGGACTATCCTCACAGGTTTGATGGCATTAAAGAAAATCACTTACTATTTCCTGGGTCTTTCGTAGTGCTTTTCTTCTTCTACATAGTCGAATCATGATAGCTTCGTCCTTCAAGATGGCTGCCACAAAAAAGTAAAGCATTTCTCAAACATGCGTGACAAAATCAAATCAACACTCCCTGCATGTTTTTGATGAGATAATAAAATTATAGCATGATCTGAAGTTCAAAAAAGTTGATTTTTCTACCCGTTTTACAAAATAACCTGTGCCACAGTTGTTGGTACTTTGAGAACCTTAAAATACATGTAGCAAATGTTTTTTATTATTATTGTAGGATATTGAGAACTTCAGAACTGATGGTGAAGTGATGACTTAATAAAAATATCAGTATCAACAACCAATGGAGTTTGACAAGAACAAATAATAATTTTAGTCGTTTTCACCTTCTGTTGTTTTGCATGCCGATTACTTTAGTACATTCCATTTCATTAATACAACCAACCACAATTTTTTCCATAAACATTTCAAGTTTTTCAAACATCAATCTTGGTTACTAACCTTTTTTTTTCTTGACGACTGAAACTAAAATTGATCTGCTTTTTAATCTTTGTTCTGTATTACTATCTTTTTATGTGTATTGTTGGTTAATCTTTTCTTGTAGAACTGCATTCTGTCACCATAGCTACACTCACAAGGAAGTTACCAAAATAAGAGCGCATAAACAAAGGTACTTTTAATCAGTTGGCCTTTACAGTTATAACTTTACTTTTTGAAGGTACATATGCCATGTCATAGAGGCCTAATATTTTGACCAACTGGCTAGTTTGGACAAGGACCACACACAACAAGCTAAAAAAAACTTATTTATTTATTTATTTTTTTACAATCTTTCCTGCTCTGTCAACAGTGTGCTAAATCTAGACTTTTTTCTATCACAGATAGTAATATTTGGTTCTGCTAGGGGCTTTAGTTGTTAGAAGAAGAGTTATAAGATCTCTTCCAGAAAGATAATGAAGAAAAGCTAATGTCAGAAATATATGGCTCTCCCTATAATTTTCTTCAGAACTTTCAATGCATTTTAGATCAGGTAAAGGCTTTAATGGAAATATTCGGGGAGATTTCCTGATGATGAAGAATTTTACTGTACCAGCCTTGAATTAACAAATGCATAGACTGGTTATGCATTAACAAATGCATAGACTGGTTTTTCTTGGCCACATTTTCTGTGTCACAAGGTTAAAGAAGGATGTCCTAGAAAGCTATTTTAATGTGAAATTTAAAGGACATCTCTTAGTTAGATTTAACCCCGACTATATATGTAAGATTTTTCTTTACATTGTTACTGGAGGCTAACTAATGCCAGCCAGAGTCTGTTTACCTGTTAAAAGATTTGAATTCTTGCCTTTTCTCAGTTTGAAAGCAGATAATAAAAAAGTGACCCAGCTCTTTATGTCAAATAAACTGATTAGATTAATCAGGATTTGTGGAAAATTATTGAACATCATCTGCAAGAGCACTGAAATTTTCTCAACAAATTCTGATGTAAATATCTGATTCTTGTTGTATTGATATCTGTTAAGACATACTGCCCTCATAACTTATTGTGGTAATTTATTCCTAAAATACAGACTTGATTAAAAGAATAATGAACCAATGACATGCATTGTACAGTTTTTGATCGTTTTCAGTTTCAGGCTCATTTTCTTGTAATCCTGTAGCTCTTGTAGCTCTGCTTTCTCCCTCAGGACAAATGGAAAATATCAATACAATTTTTGTGGAAACTAAAGTTGGCATTTATGATCTCATTCTACTGTTCCCTTATATGGATCAGTAAACACAGAGAACAAGGAAACAGGCTCGAGGCTTATGTGGACCACTGAGTCACTCTTCACGTCCCACAGGAAGTTTACTTAGGAACTGCTATACTTGATGTCCTCAGCTCACCCTGACATCAGGCGATAAGGTGAACTGTGTGGAAATGCTGACACTCAGTGGTGTTACGTGGACACTGCAGTTAACACCCACAAGAAAAGGACAGCAAGGTCTAAAGTGAACAACATATTAAGCTCAGGCAATTTTTCAAATTAGAGTAGTTTAAAAAGTTTCATCTAAGCAGATAAAAACTCATCCTTACCAAGCATTTTGAGAGCGTGTAACAACAGTAGACAACGACTTGGTTTGTGTCATCCAATCTACAGCAATCCCTCATAGCGAGCGTTGTGGAAAAGGAAAAACTCTCCTTTAACAGGAAGAAATTTCCAACAACTGGCCAAGCTCTAATATCCTCCTGTAGACTGCCAACAACAAACCATTCTCTGTCTTCTGATATGAACTTTTTAGTTTTACGAGCTTGACTGTAATTTTACATCAGTTCATCTGTTTCTTCTTGTGCATCTGCTTTGTCTTCTCACACCTCAGTCATTTGTAGCAGACGGCTGCTTGTACTGTGTTTCTTTCTGTTAAAACGGGAGGTTTTTTTTTCTTTCCACTATTGCAACATGAATTATTCGTATAAGGGATTGCTATAAAGTAGATCACACAATGCCATGGTTTTACTGTTCATACATGCTCATCCAGGTGTTTGGAATGCTGCAAGTCATTTACTTAATGCAATCTTCAGAAGCCTTTTTAAACTAATTTTAGTAACTAATTAAGCTTACCTTACTGTTTGCTAACTCGGGTCAATTAGAATGTATGTCTAATTTAATTGAAATATTTTTTTTGCTAAAGACTATAGTGAATTGGCGCTATATAAATAAAACTGAATTGAACAAAGGTTTTGAAATAGCCAAGCTAAAGTGCAGTTAAAACACTTGGAATGCTGTGCTATAACCATAAACAAGCCGTTCATGGTTTAAAACCCTCCAATGTGGCTAAATAATAATAAAATAAAAAAAATACAATTTCCACAGTTTAAGAAAATATTCACAGTAACACACAAAGACGGCAGTTGTTTTCGCTGCACAAGCATCTATTGGTGTCAGGGAGTAATTACTTTTTCACAGTGACTGGTTTGAATAGCTCTCCCCTTGCCTTGATAAGGAAAATGCACCATTTGGAAACTTCTTACTCGCTTACTCTGCACTGTTATAAAATTTGTCTGATGAACTGCAGCATTTAATACGCTTGTATGCTCAACTAAGAGTTGGGTTCAGTTTTTCATTTTCGGGTTCAGAAGCTGAACACTTTGCAATATCTGAAAATAGAAGTTAGGATCTATTAGACCACTAGAGGTCCTTCACATGCCACAGATCGAGATCTACCCATGCGTATGTGTGTTTATCTTTCATGGTGTAAGCGTTCATGGTGAAGTGTTTTACATAAGATAATACTTTGAACAAGACTAGTTTGAATATACTTCACTTTCTGCCTTCCTTCTTTCAGAACACAGGAAGTTTGGGGATTTAACAAAAAACTAGGCCACTTTTCAGTAGAAAGAATCACATTCCTCCACATTTTGACATTTATAACCATCGACCTCATCTTCCACCTCCTACTCACGCTTGAAGCATATTTCTCTTCAAAACACTGCTATTAGTAGCAGAGAATGTGGGCTTCCTATTTCTCTTGTCTCTAAGGTGTCTTTTATCTCGGCTCCCTCTGGTGTATATTTCCTCAGTAAGCTAAAGTCGGATGAGAAAAAGAGACTGTTGGGGAAAGGAGGAAAAAGATTGGGAAATTTCCCCCTGCTGCCGCTCATTTAAAATGCTTCCAAACGTGCAGCCAGTGGTCAGTGCAGGTTTGGTATTAATCACTAGGGTGTGTTGTTATAAGGGAGGAGGGGGGAGTAAGTGAGGCGGTGGGGAAGCAGGTGGGAGGGTGTGATACTAGGAGGGCGGGGAGGACAGATGAATGAATGCAGTGTAGTGTCTTCAGCGACTGTTTTTTCCACAGTGACGTCTCAATAGACACACACAGCATTGCTTGACTGGGGTGAATCATAGATAAAAGACAATTTAAATTTGAACAACTTTGAACGGCTTTTTGAAAACACCACAAAAAAGGACAGAATCAACAGAATTCTATTTAAGAAATAGTGTAAGTTTTATTGCATTCCATGCAAGTCAGAAACTTAACAGTGTGGCTTCAGTATGCTAAAGCCTTGTGTTTGCGTAATCCAGTTTATGTGTGTTGATCCATAGATCCATAGGGCATTGATAATACTTTCCAATGTTCCTAATGCTCGCCTTTCTCTACGTGAGTTCAGCATAAACTTGACAAACGCATCTGCGGAAAACATTTTTCCTCCATCATTTTTTTTTTTTGTCCGCTCTGATCCCATCCAGATAAGAACTAAAGCTGTTTATGAGATTTAGAGAAGAAAAGAGAGAAAAAAGAAAAAAAACTGAGAATGAGAGAGGATTAAAAAAGATTTAGAGAAGAAGTCCGACATATTCCTATCCCAAAACAGGCAGTGTGGAACGAAGTAATCCAGGATTTTTGTGTGTGTGTATGTTTTATTTTTCCTAAAACGGCTTTTGGATTTGAAGTGGTTGGTGCATTACAAGGCATATATCTCAGCAGATTGTACACATGACCTTGTTGTCCTGCTGTTCATAGTGGTGGTGAGTGGACCATGTGAGTGGACAAGGTACGATAGAAAACGAGCAAAGGGAAAAGACGCTTGCTTTTGAACATCTACGAAATAAATATTGGATGTTGCTTAAAATACCTTTTTGGTTTGGGTGCTTTCACCACTGAATATTTAAAAAAGCTTCGGGAACAAGTCCTTTCGCACCCTCTCAAGTTGCACGGGGAGAGCCATCCAGCTGGCTTGCATGTCTTTCTCCACCTGCGGGATAACTGACTCTTCTCCTCGTTGATATCATTACCATGAGGTGTCATCTTCTTTTCCTCCTTCACCCAAAAGCAGCTCATTTGACAAAATGTGTTTTCTCTATGATTGTCTTTGTCGTTAATTTATACCAGAATATAAAATAATCTAGATTTTGTCAGAGGAAAGAGGATTACCAGTTTTTACCAAAGACACATAGATAATTTCCGTCATGTCTCGTGACTTCTGCAAGCGACTACTCCTTTGTTTCATCTGCAATGTGTTGAAACAAATTGGTGTGCAATTCTGAAGTGAAAATAAAATGGTACACATTTTTCATTTTCACTGTACAAAACAATGTCAAAAAATCCAACATGTAGTTTTAGAGGATATTTTCTATGCCCACTCCATAGTTTATGACAAACTAAAAACCCGTGACGGCCATGTTCATGGTTTGCATGCTCTACCCCAGTTGGTGTATTTCTGAAGAGGACAATTTGTTCCTGAAAAGGTGTCCCTACTCTTCTGCTGCGTGTATTTTAGTGAACAACTTGACAAAGAGGCAGAATGAAGTGCCATTTTAAGAACAGAAGAAGTGTAGGTTAAGGACACTCAGTCTTTTTATTTTCTCCTCTCAGATCCAGAGCACATCTCTTACAGTGAGGTCTATATCAGCAGGAACTTGTACAGGAAGTACCTTTACATTTCACCTCAGCAGGAAACACATTAATTGTTGCCACATTTGGGCCACAGCTTCGTTAATAAATTTTGGGATAAAAACGGAAATAAGACAATGCGAGGAAATGGCAGCGGCAATCACATTAATCAAAATCAAAATATAAAAATGTATTTTTAAACTTAATTTAAGTATTTCATGTTTGAAATTACT